CTTTCTGAAATGACACTGTTTACTAAATGAATGTTTGTCCTATTTGTGAACTGCATTCGTGACATCCATAGCAATTTACTGTTACTGAAATGTTACTGCTACTGTTACAGAGATTTCTGTCGGTTTCCATGTTTGGAACCATTACTGATGGCCATCATTGACTGCTCGGTCTGTTAAGACCTACTGTACTGTTTTGCTATCGGATGTACCACATATGACTATTATATTTTCTGAATGACTGTTATGGCATGAATTATGAGCCACAAACTGAACGACTGATATACTGATAAATGACTGTTTTCAATACTGAAGGGACATTCATTCTTAACCTCTTTACGCATATGTTATTCACTGGGTTTTAGCTCACTGCTTATATATATATATATATATATGTAGGTGTACAGGCACCAGACCGTTGCTAGGAGCGTCGGGCTAAGCTTCCGTTTTGTCAAAGCCAACCACCGTGCCTCACTGCGAGGTTCCAAGTCCTTCAAGCTAGGGCTTTTTGGGGTGTTTTAGTTTTCCCCCTTTTTGTAGCTGGTTTTGTAACACTGTATAGTCTGACATGTGTACCCGTACTGTACTGTTATGGTAGGGATTTGATCCCTAACCTGAACACCTGTAAATGATGTATGTATGTATGTATATATTGTTTTGTTTCTGTATGTGAATATATATGAAAAGTCTTTTTGCATACAGACTGTCACAGCTCATTAGACATCTTTTAATTACTGTTTTGGCTTCCGCCAACCCCTGTATTCTGTATTACTGTTATTACTGTTAAGCAGGCCTTCGGTAATCTCAGATTACTGGCCGGTTACGGTGCTAAACCCATAGGGGCGGGTTTGGGTCGTGACATAAGGCCACCTTCAGTGAGATTCTGGAGATGATGAAAACTAAACTGGCAGGTTGGAAAACCAAAACTCTTAACGTAGTAGGAAGAGCCACCCTTATTCATGCTGTCACATCTGTCATCCCTTCCTACACCATGCAAACTATGGAACTTCCTAGACACACCTGTGATGAAATTAATAAGCTCAATAGAAATTTCCTTTGAGAAGACACTGAAACACATAAAAAAGTCCATTTAGTTAATTGGGACAGTGTTTGTAGAAGTAAATCTGAGGGTGCTTTAGGTATTTGAAAGGCTAAGGACTATAATGCTGCTCTCCTTACCAAACTGGGGTAGAAATTTTTGAGTGAAAGATCAAAACTTTGGTGCCAAATCCTTCATTCTAAATACTTGCACCATCACAGCTTCTTTAATTGGCCTCAGAATTCTCAAGCTTCTCACATTTGGAGAGGCATTTGCAAAACAAGGGACACTCTTAGAAGTGGGGTTAAATGGGTGGTTGGAAATGGTAAAGATATTTCCCTTTGGAATGACTGGTGGTGTGGTTCTAAATCCTTAGCCCTTACAAATAACAGCTACCCAACCAATGATTCTGACAAAGTTAAACTAATCTTGGATGAGGATGGAAATTGGAACATGGATAGCCTTGCCACACTAGTTACTCCTCATGACCTCACTGAAATCCTTAAAATTTTCAGGCCTAGTTTTGTAACATTCCCAGATACTCCCTCTTGGTTTGGATCTACCTGTGGTAAATTCTCAACTACCTCTGCTTTTAAGTTTATTACTAATCCTGTTGTGGATGGCAGTGACTGGCATTGGATCTGGAAACTCAAACTCCCTCAAAAACTGAAATATTTCCTTTGGCTTATTCTCAAAGGCAGACTGCTTACCAATTATATGCGCCTTGTGAGAAATCTGTCCTCTTCAGATTTGTGTCCTAGATGTGGACACTCTAGTAAAGACATGCTGCATCTCCTTAGAGACTGTGCCCACTCTAAGGCAATCTCGATTCACATTCAAAATCAATCTTGGTGGGAAGAAGGATCAACACTGCCCCTGTTTGACTGGGTGTCCTATAACTCAAAGTGAACAATATCACTGATCGGCACAAAATGGTTTCTGATTTTTGTTATTACACTTTGGCATATCTGAAAGGATCGTAATCAAATGGTTTTTGATCAAACTATGAACCCAATCCATACCAATCTTAAACTCATCAGGGATTATGTGCATGAAATTAAAGAGGCTTTTCACTCTCCTCTTCACCCCCAATTTTCTTTACCTAAGCTAATTAAATGGTGTTTTCCTCCTGTAGGCACATTGAAGCTTAACACAGATGGTTGTTCAAAGGGTGACCCAGGTCAAGCCGGCTATGGAGGCCTCTTGAGAGACGAGACAGACACGTGGCTATGGGGCTACTATGGCAATTTGGGACACTGCACATCCTTGGAAGCAGAAGTTTGGGCCATCTACCGTGGACTCACCATCTTGTTCCAAAAAGGGCTGACCAACGTGGTAATTGAAATCGATTCTGAGCAAGCTATGATTCAAATTCAACAAGCGCCACACCTAAACTCCCCTCTCAAGGCCCTCATTGAAGATGCCAAATTCCTCATTCAGAGATGCCACTGTTCCATCCTCCACACCTTGAGAGAAGGCAACAGAGTAGCTGATAGACTAGCTGATTTAGGTGTAGCCCAAGCTGATCATGTAAAAATCCTTGAGGATCCTCCTATGGAGGTCACAACTCTCCTCATTGAGGATATGACTGGAGTGACTGGACTGAGGGAGTAGCCCTCTGTTTGTAGTTCTGATCTCCTTTTCTTCTTGTTTGTTTTACCATTTCCTTTGAATAAAAAAAAAAGATACTATAATTGAAATGTGTGTAAGATTGATTGACTTGTTTGATGAAATGGTTTGCTGAGATGTTTCATAAATAATTTGTTCAACTTTTTTTTTTTTTTGGGTCTCTACAAATGATTTTTGTTTTTTTCTGGGTTTTTGTAAATGGTTTTTGCACATCCATAAAGAGAAAGGGGGATGTAGGGATAAAATTGGCATTTTAAATAAATAAATTGCTGACATAAACAAAAACTGTTAATTGGTCTAACCGCTAATTAACAGAAGGGGCAATTTGTAATTGTGAATATAAACTTTAGGGGAGGATAATGTAATTTCTAGTACAAGGAGAGGGTTGTATTAAAGATAAACCTAAGGGGTGTGGATGTAATTTACCCTATAAAAATTCGAGGAAAAAAAAAAACCAATGAAATAATGTCATATGTATTGTAGATAATTTATCTGTTAAATTTATTAACGAAAATAGATAATTGACATGGATGGAGTATTCAAATTGTGTTAAAGTTTAAAATTCAAAGTATAAATTGATGCAATTGAAACTTGAGATTTAATTTGAAAAATACGCAAAACTTGGATTATTTTTTTTTGTTGTTGTTGTAATTTGCCCTAAATTTTTTCTACAATCAAAACCTCTTATATATATATATATATATGATCCAAATACAACACTTAAATCAACCATATGGTTTTAGTTTTGGCTTTGAATTGGGTGCTGTATTTGGATCAAAACCTTCTTCTACATTGTGTTTGATTTCAAATTTCTAAATTTAATTTTTTGAAAATTGAGTTTTGTTTTTTCATGTATTTTTTAGTGAATATTTTTAAAATTTTAAACAAATTTTTTTTAATGTTTTTAGATGCACCTTACTTAGATATATATAAAAAATAAAATATTTATATAAAAAAAACTATTTTAAAAAATCAATAAATACACAAGAATATGAAAATGTACTAAATTCTCATTTTTTAAAAAATATTTTTGATATTTAATGAATTTTTTAAAGATATTTTTCACAAATATTGTATAATTTTTTAAGTGTATTTATATTAAGTGTATCTAAAAATTTTTAAAAAAATTAATGAAAACAAAAAAATTACGAAAATAATTTTTTTTTTAATTTTCTCAAAAGTAAATTTTGAATCCTAAAACCAAACAAGTGTGTATCCTATCTCAGCTGAGAACACAAACATCAGTAAATGTTACGCAGCCCAGAGACAACAATCAAGCTCCAACAGAAAGAAAGCACACAAAAAACAAGTAAATAAATAAAAACTAATTCTCTAGAAACCAACTAAAACACAAAAAAATAGCAAATCAACTCACAAAATCATAAGCCAAAAAATCCCCAAAACCTTAAACGAGCTCTGAAATATAGACATTGTAGTAATGTAGCATTCTATGACCCTCAACAGGTTCGTCACTCTGCATAGAAAGCAAATCACATCAACCATGCAAACCTTGCCGACGCATCGGCAATCAGTCTTCCTCGCAGCAGCCGAAGAATGGTCACAGTTCCATACGCTGACGTAGCTCTCGCCGGACCTCTTGAGCGCCGATAATGCGTCGGCGACGGTGGCGGAGATCGGAATCGACCTCAGCGCCGGCTTTCCAAGGCAAAGGTCCGACACCTCACGAGCCAGAAACCTAACTGCCATGCAATAACAGAACGAATCTGGGATGGAAAGAGAGGATTTTCTCGAGAAAGAGTCGAGAAAATAGAGAGAGATGTAGAAAATGTGTGTACGTATGCGAGGGGTTGATATTGAAGGGGCGAAAGTGTTGGAGTTTGATTGACAGAGAAGGTGGGATTCCTTCATTGGCAGAGAAGAGAGCTCAGCAGGTTGATTGAGCCATTGTAAGGCAGAGAAGAGTTCAGCTATGGAATTTGTGGCAGCGGAGTGAAGGTATGTGTTGAAGGTTTCAATTGGTTGAGGTCCGGCGGGCGGTCAAGGTAAGGTTGCCGCCCGCCGGAAGGCGAAAACGCCAAAATCTTTAACCTATAGCTCTGATACCATGTAAAATAAATTGATGTATTATTGATTGTTTTGTATTGATTGATGTATCTGTATATTACAATTCCTATATATATAGAGGAGAAGATGGTAGTAGGTGTAGGTGGTAGTGGAAGTGGTAGGTGGAGTGAGTGGTAGTGGAGGTGATAGGTGGAGTGGGTGGTAGTGGAGGTGGTAGGTGGAGTGGTGATTTATTATTTACAATTTACATTAACACTTTCAAAAACTAAAAGAGAAAAGAAAATAAATGGTTAGATAATAGAGAAATAAATAAGAAGAGAAAAACAATGATATTGTTTCTTCTTATTTGGATAGTTTAGTAGAGAAAAGTATGGAAAATAGAGTGTTATCCTCCTCTATTGTACAAAAAAGATAAGAGGAGAGAAAAAGAAGCGAAAGACGGTTATAGTATAATGTGAGATTATCTTTGATGGAGTCGATTCTTTTGGTTGAAATGTCAATTCAGAGAAAGCCCCTGCTTCCGCACTTTCTCCGTAAGTAGATGAAGGAAAATGTTTGGGACCCCTTTTAGGGATGACCTCTACACCCTCAAAGTGATCCTGGCCCTCCATATATGTATGGGGCTCACTCATATATATGTGGGGTTCACATCATAAGTGGTCCAGATTTGTAAGGGTCTTGTGGGGGTTTTGTGGAGGTGGAGGTGGAGGTCTCAATCATTGCTCGTAGATGAAATAGACAAGTTTCTGGCAGGATGATTACCAGGGACAGAATCTGGAAAAGTAAGAGTTGTGGAGGTTGGGGTCTCAATCGTTGTTCATAGATGAAATAGACAAGTTTATGACAGGATAATTACCAGGGACAGAATCTGGAAATGTAGGAGTTGTTAAGCTTTCTTCGTTTGCATGATTCTCTGTATTCGACAAGTTTGGGCCTTCTAAAAAATCCAGCACAATCCCACCAATTGGTGTCTTACAGGTAGGTGACACATTCTTTTCTACCTCTGGTTCAAAGAGTATATAGTTCATTTCGGAAACTGAAAGAGAAAAGAAAAGAATTGGTTAGATAAGAGAGAAATAAATGAGACGATGAGAAAAATGATATTTTACTGCTGGTTTGGATAGTTTAGGAAAGAAATGTATGGAAAATAGAGTTTTATCCTCCTCTATTGGATGAAAAAGATAAACAGGAGAGAAAAGAAACGAAAGACGGTTATAGTCTAACGTGGGATAATGTGTTATTCTCTTCAATGGAATCAATCTTTTCAGTTGAAATGTCATTTCAAAGAAAACCCCAACTTTTCCACTTTCTCTGTGTATAGATGAAATAGACAAATTCATGGCAGGATAATTACCAGGGACAGAATCCTCCAAAATAAGGGTTGTTATGCTCTCTTTGCTTGAACCATTCTCTGTATTCAACAAGTTTGGGCCTTCATTTTGGTCCTGAAGGTGTCTAACCATTTCATTCCCTCTCTCTGTTTGGCCATCAGTTGGCATCTTGCTGCAAGTGGGTGACACATCCTTTTCTCCATGTGGTTCAAGGAGTATACAATCCGTTTTGGAAACTGAGAGAGAAAAGAAGAGAAGTAGTTAGATAAAAGACAAAAAGATGAGAAGAAGAGAAAAACAAAGATATATTTTCTTCTTATTTGGATAGTTTAGGGAAGAAAGGTATGGAAATGAGAATTTTATACCCCCTCTCTTGCACAAAAAAGATAACATAATAGAAAAGAAATGAAAAATGGTTATAGTTTAACGTAGAATAATTATTAGTTGGTAGATAAGGGATGACCCACCTAATATGTTTTGCAGTTTTTCATTGGTTGGGAACACCATGTGAACAATGTCACATAGTACTTTAGGACTACCTAATAATTTTCCTATAATGTGAACGGGTAAAAATGGAAACCATTTTTTGTAAAATCGCCAACTCCCATCCCTTTTCTCTCCAAATCCCTCAACTTGCGGATTGATTAAAAAAGTGAATTACTTAGAATTATCATTGCTCCTCATTTCTTTATTCTTAAACAATTCAAAAAGTTTTTTGAGGAGGACAGAGCTTTTTTATTATGATTTTTATTTTTATTTTTCATACCGTGATGAGTTTTGATAATTGAATCCAGTGCAACTAGAAGTGAACATGGAGGACTGAATGGTTCCTCTACAATTTGGACAGATTTAATTACAAGCTTTAGCTTAAGGAGAGACCAATTACCTTTTCTTTTCTTCTGAGATGGCCACCGAGGGATCCCATGTTGCCTGCAGATGTGCTTCATTGTGGATACGCTAACTGCATGAGCAAGACTTTAGATAAGATGACTGATTCTATATTGATTCAAAGCAACACTTTATTTGATTGTACGAGCTTACCACCAAGGGCCTTAGCAGCATCGTCAAGTTTACAACCAAAATGTTGTTGGAGATCCTCAAAACTAAGTACATTCTCTGTTATGCATTCTCTCTTTAATGTCTCTCTTGAATTTGTCTTATCTAAATGAGATACGGTAGAGCAGCTCTGACTTGCCCTGACAAGATGAGCACTATTGGTTGTAACATCAAATTGCACCAATGATTATTGTTTTGATGAATCAAGTTGCACCATCTCTCCTCCATCTAGTAACGCTATAGTTCGAGGTGAAGATCTAGCATGTAGGGGTTTTTGGATGCATCGAAGCATCGAATCATGTTTCTCATGCATAGATGGACTGACAACTTCCGTCAATCTTTCCTTTTTTCTCTCCTAGTTTACCAAACAGAAGTTCATTGAAGGAAGAAAAAAAAAACATTAATTCTAGCTATCAATCATTGAGATGTCCATTAAAAGAGCTAGAAATCTGTCAAAATGAAAATATTAGTGATTTTAAAAACCATATGGCAATGTAATCGATCTGATTTCACAATTCATAATAAATTTAGTGAGAAAATTATTACTTTCCATAATAATTATGACTAATAAAATGCATTGACAAATAGAAATAAAAATATAAGTGAGTTACTGGTTGAAATGGCCATCGAGAGATCCCATGCTTCCTACATATGCGCTTCATTGTAGATACGCTAACTGCACGAGCAAGAATCTAAGATATTGGAACCACATTCTTATATTACTTCCACAAAGAAAACAATAAGAATTACAAAGGTTCAAAAACAAAACCAAAAAGACACACAAGATTTGCAGCTTCACTTTATTAAGTGTAGAATCTTACCTCCAAAACTGTTTGCAACATTTTCACGACTAGCTAACTGCACGAGCAAGAATCTAAGATATTGGAATCACATTCTTATATTACTTCCACAAAGAAAACAATAAGAATTACAAAGGTTCAAAAACAAAACCAAAAAAACACACAAGATTTGCAGCTTCACTTTATTAAGTGTAGAATACCTCCAAAACTGTTTGCAACATTTTCACGACTACTGCCAAAATGTTGTTCGAGATCATCCCGAGTAAGTACACTAATGCTTTTGTAATTTCTCTTTAATTTGTCTCGTATTTTTCTTCTCTGAATGAGATACAATAGGGAAGCTTTCATATGCCTTGACACCATGTGCTCCATTGTTTGTAGCATCAACTTCCACCGTAATTTCAACTGATCTTTCCTCTACTAGAGAAGAATCCTTCGTGTAACCAATTTGAAGTTCAATGAGAAGATTAGTAAATTTGAGGTGCTAATCATTGATGAGTCTTGTATATAACCCAAACCTTAGATGCTACTGTTGTTATGAATCACATTCATTTTGTCATACTACTTGAAAACAAATGCTTAGTTCAAAGTGCAGCTGAATATAAGTTCGCATAATGTTTCTAACCTCAAATCAAAGTTAAAAAGTTTGTTAAAAATTGAAATTTCATCAATGTGGATGATATAGCTAATGTTGGAGAACTTAGCCACAATAAAATATTTGTTAAAATGGCCACAAATTCAGACAAAATGCAAAATTTTATAAATGGTCCTTTGTAGATATATTTTCTTCTATGCCCAATGAGAAGGAAAGCTGGACAACGGACATATTAAAAATAAAAATAAACATGAAGGGTAAAAATGATTTTAAAAATAAACTGTTAATTTTTTATTTTTATTTTACTTTATACATAAACTTTTCTTATTTTTTTCATGGACGACTAATACATATAGGTCTACAAAATGAATGAAGTAGGTCATTCAAATGGGGCTTGTGTTGGGCTCCAACTGGACTGTCCAATCCACAAATATGGAATGGATACAAGCTGTGTACTTTTATCCCAGACACTGATATAGAAACGAAAATATAAGTGAGCTAGTGGTGGAAAAAATAAATATTTTTTTCATGGACGACTAATACATATAGGTCTACAAAATGAATGAAGTAGGTCATTCAAATGGGGCTTGTGTTGGGCTCCAACTGGACTGTCCAATCCACAAATATGGAATGGATACAAGCTGTGTACTTTTATCCCAGACAGTGATATAGAAACGAAAATATAATGGTGTGTTTGGTAACGTTTACGTTTTCAGTTTATATTTACAAAAATTTTATAAACTGATTTTTGTTTATTTTTTTAAAAACATAAACTACAAACGCGTTTGGTAATTAACAAAATGTTTTAAAAAATTTAAAAATATAAAAAAGAGTGAGAAATGGCAAGTGGTGGCAAGTGGTTGCTGAAGATGGTGGTGGAAAGTGGTGCCGGTGGGTGGTGGGTAACTGGTGGTGGTGGGTGGTGGCTAGCTGGTGGTGGTGGTGGGTGGGTGACGGTGGCGGGTGGTAGAGAGTGGGTGGTGGGTAGTGATGGCAGGTGGGTGGCGGGTGGGTGGTGGATGGTGATGGGGGGTGGGTGGGTGACGGTGGCGGGTGATGGGTGATAGCGAGTGGGTGAGGGGTGGTGGTGGTGGTGATGGGTGGCTGTGGGAAATGGTAACGGGTGATGGCTAGTGTTGGGTGGTAAAAAAAAAAAAACTGAAAACTCAAAATGGAAACACATT